AAATATACCTAGCTCCTTGCATGGAAAGCGGAGTCCTGCTGTTTCTGATGGAATCTTCCCCTAGTGCCAAAACCTTTCCAAATGCAGCTATTCTCCAAGGGCTGAATCAGTGCCCACTGAAAGCAAAGGGAAAGATTCCTACTGATGGCAAGCATCCCAAGTAAGCCAGAGGTCTATGCTGCCTTTGCCAGAAAATTTTATGTGCCTTTTGATGGCTCTAAAGCTTCACTCTTTGTAGTTGTCTTTCGTATAGATCTTACTATGTGACTTTTTTCCAGACACATCACATACTGGAAAAAGCAAGGTTGATGTGTTTCTATCCCTGATTCAACAGAGAACATACCTTTATCAAATTAATTTTTAAGAGACCTGCTTTAGTCAGGGTGCACAGGRAAGCATATGCAATGTTTAAACATTCTGCTGTCCAATGGCCTGATTTTCCCTGTATAAACACATGGGAAGGAGGTAAAAGACTCAATCATGTGTTAAAGAAAACAATGTGGTACCCTCACAATAAAACCATAGAAGRTTTTTCACAAGTTTACTCAATAGTTGAAGTTTACTTGCAGCTTGTCCTCAGAGATAAGTATAGACATTCCAGTGCAGATGGGGATTGTGGAACGAAATGGGACAAACTCCTAAGCTCTTATCCCTAAGGGATGGTATGGGAGCCTGTGATCACATACATACCCCTTCGATGCCACTAAACGGCAACTTATTACCAAAGTGCAAATTAGGTGAATAAATCTGTCTGAAAGGGTCTAATTGGGTCATGAGTTATCTATGAAAACAGACAGGGAAGGAATGAAAAACTTTAGGTGGAGGGTTTATTTCTGGACCTATTATTATGGACCTTTAGGTGAGGGTTTATTTCTGTAGAAGCTCTAGCCCATCACTTATTGCAATTGTGAATAGCTGACTGCCTGCAGAAAGATATATAAACAAGTGCACTCAGAGARCAAAACTGTCCTCTTCTGTTATTCTTTAACTAAACTTGGTTGCTCCTGYTGGAATAGAAGCAGAAACACTACCRGCAGTTGCAACKCGTATTTTCCATATTTTCAGAGACCGAGATTTTTTTTAGGCCAGATCAGTTAATTTAAAAAAACACAACACCTTCCTGCTGCTGTGTTAAGAATAGCAAGTTTTGTTACATCTTTCATATCACAACTAATTACTCAGAGAAGAACTCACAATCAGTTAGAGTTTTGGCTATAGAGTTTGCCCCTAACTGCACTCTTTTGGTGGACAATGTATCAAGAGGACAGACAAGATGAGCCAACCCTATAAAAACAGGCATCAAAAAGAAAAACTGAAATTATTTTAAAAGCTTAAAAAATCTAGTCCCATGGACACCATAGTCAACAGTAATCRGCTCATGGAAAGTCTCAGAGAGGCAGGATATGATGCCCCTCCAAATCTGGGTATCTGGTGACACTCTAAATAGCTGCTGTATTTCCATAACAGAAGACTTTAGTTATGCAAATCCTCCCTCTCAAGCCCAAGGATGGCAGACAGGGTAGTTGAGATTAAGCCTTCCCTTAGTAAAGTGTTGCACTTCTATAGAAGAAGAAATGCAGAGCAAAAATGAGYTCTTTCCACTTCCAAACACACAAAGCCAGCACAAAGTGTTACTGGATTTCATCTTCTCTGCCTCTGCCACTCTGTATCATCCAGACCCCTTGAACTCTTATGCTGGAAGGTGATGGCATGTACAGCTCACTAATGCTAACTTGGGCTTTTATATTAAAAAAAAAAAAAAAAAGGTACTCACTGAAGAGATAAATAAAAAACAGCAAACAGACTTCCCTCTCTTCCCATGATTGGCCTGCAATTTGAACATCCTGTGGTAATTTCATAAATCAGCCTCTTTTGTTCTAAGAGAAGCAAACAAATGGGCAGTGGGCACAATGTCTCCCTTTGGTGTGGCATTTGGTATSTAGCCTGGTATTCAAACGTGTAGGCATTTCTCCACCCCTCATATTGCAGCTGAATGACTTTGCTGTGTTGATTTGAAATGACCTGACTAATCCCAACTTCCTCTAACAGTTTAATGAAATGTCAAAAGTTAACAAGGTTCACAGAGTTGAAAAAAAAACCCATTCAAACAACGATGAAAAGAAACACATGGACAGCAGTTTTTAAACAGTCTTYGGGCTATTGGAAATAATTCAATGAACTTTAGCCAAGCTGCACTACAAACACACTGAGATGGGACTAAAAAAAGCTGCATTTTTTATCTGGACTGTAAAATCCAGTTCAGAATTACAAAAAGAAGGTATATAAGAAAAGCCATAATTAGGTAAATTTGAAAAAAAAANAAAAAAAAAAAAAAAAAAAAAAAAAAAAAAAAAAAAAAAAAAAAAAAAAAAAAAAAAAAAAAAAAAAAAAAAAAAAAAAAAAAAAGAAAAAAAGAGACCCTTCCTGCCCCTCTTGGATCATCTGGTGCTTGGAATACAAACCACAGAGCAACAGTTATGCAGCACTGGTTCCACCAGCTGAAACTACAGGAGGCAGAGGCAGTGGTGATYTGGCAAGTTGAGTCCTGTTCCTTTCCAAGAGAGGTTTAATGGTGCTCTCAAGTRCAAAGGAATTGAATGCCCTGATCATGGTTCCAATCTCGTAGAATACCAACTCAGAGGAAAAAGCTTACATTGTACTCCCCCATTAAGCATGGCACTATGAGATAAACCAAACACATCAGTGCTTTGTCTATCATTTGTATTTTACTTCTTGCTAAGAAGTTATTGAAAACTACCAATATGGCATTTTCATTACTGAAGACAGCTCCCAGATTTTTTGAACTGCCCCCAGGAAGTAATTTCTGCTTTGAGCTGAAGGAAAGAGAGAACAGTGTTTTGCTGGTAYCAGTATCAGCTATTGCAAAGTACTAATCCTTTTCCTGTTACTAATTTTTCCTCAGGTACCTTCATATTTGTTACAAAGGTGACAGATATGCAATTGTCATCTGAAGCACAACATCCTGAAGGCAAAAACATGCTTTCCAGGGGGCTCCCATGTCTCTCACCTCCCTCCCTCCCATTTCACGGCAGAACCTGGCCATTGCAGCATCAGTCTGGCTCCTGCACCCCAGAGTCTCCAGCAGACTGTGTATCATCATCTCAACTGTCTCAGTATTCCAGGAAGCCTCTCCTCCTTCCCAACACACCTCCAGCCGTGACCTAACTCAGTTACAGTGCTGCTGCCTCTCAGCTTTCCGGACATMCACGGATGGATAGATGCTAATTTTGTTTTGTAAATGACACAAATGAGTTTAATCAGCCTTAGGGCTGACAGCATGTCATTGTATGTTCATTAACACTTGACCAGAGTTGAGCATCCAGGAGATGCCAGGTTTGAGCAATAATAGGGAAACAACTGCTCTGGCAAGCTTCACGCTCTCAAGCAGACTCCCTATGGAAAAAAGGTTATGTGATCTTGGAAACAGAAGACAACCCTTGTGCAGAAGCCTGGTGGAAGAGGGAGCAGTCTGGAGGCCAGGCAGGCAAATCGTGTTGCAACCAAATGCCATTATCTTTACATATTTTTGCATGTGGAGTTGGAAAAGCTGAATATTTAAGAAAACAGGCAATACTACATAAAATGTCCTGCCTGAGATCTTCTGTTTACATGATGCAATGGCTGAATCCCAAATGCTTGTATTTGCTGAACACAACATTGGAACTACACAATTTAATATACTAGCATTACACTGTCAAACCAGACAGAATAGAAAAAAATAATTTGCTGCAACAGATGCAGCCATGAGAGACCGGAAGAGCAAAGGAAAACTGAGAGCCAGTAAGAACAGGAGAGATTATGAAGATTACTGGAAGCTGAAACGAAGAATCAGGGCCATGATAACATTACAAAATGATGCTAGGCCATTACAGAGAAGGCAATGAGACTAATACAAGCATGGATATAGAGAATGTATATAATATATAGAATTCTTCTGTGTGTCATCAGAGAAGACAGACTTCAAAGCTGTATAATCTGTCGTTGTCCTTAGAAAATACAGCTACTTCTGTTGATCACAATGCTCCCACTGAAAAACTAATCCCTTGGCATCAGAGCTCAGAGTRTGTAATAACCTACAGACATCCACAAATTCACCACGCAAGCATGTCCACAACTGCTCTTGGAGCTTCCTGGGAATTCCCCCAGCTACTTATGCTTTGGCAATGTCTGAAGGTCATGCTGGGTTAACGCCTTATGTATCTTGAGATCTGGATTTTAGCTTGATGGTATCAGCACAGAGGATTCACTGCAGCTGCTCAAACCTCATGCAACAAGAATTTCAGTTTGCATCACTGAGTTATCACATAATATGGAGGGCTGGATTGTCTGAGTGCCGTGAGTTAGGGATGGTGCTGTTAGGAAGAAAACCTTACTGGTACTGTTAGGAAGAAAACCTTAGACTCTCAGTCAACGCCTAGAACTGAAAATATTTCACTTCACAGCTTACCTCAGTGAAGTTCAAATGTAAAGACAGAATTCAGTATTTTCAGCATCAATTATTTTTCTTCTGTGAGAAGGTAATAAATGACATTTCACAACACACCGCTGGGTCCATATATTACTTTCTTTGCTTTGCTAAATCACATGATGATATCCTGGAACAGAGAACCTAAGTAACTGAATTTAGCTGGCTTTAGTTAGCTTCATCACTGCAGATGAAATGTGTGTTTGTAAAGAACTACATTTTGTGCTTGCACAAAAAAAAAGACACTGCAATCTACCTCTAGTCTTTTAGGGCATTTAAGTTGTCATCAAATTTTAAGGTATTATTTAATTTAGGATGCTCACTAAGAAGAGAACCGCTGAAACTGCCAATCTACGTACACACTCCTAACTTGCTTCTTTCCAGTGAAAATATCAACTGCATGTAGCAAAATTAAAGAATATTTTTTCATAAGAACATGTGCTTCAAGACAGGAGATCACAGTGTAATGAATATATATAATTCAAATCAAAGCCTTTCAAGGCTTGTATAAATAAATAGTGCAGCTAGAATATATCTCTGTAATGCAGAGCTAGAACAGGCTTTCAGAAAAGTACTGAATAATTTCCTTCTAAATATTAACTCAGTCATATATTGCTCAACRGCAAAAAGAGGCAGATACAAAATGCAAATAGAACATTCACCAATAATTCTGTCATTGTTAGGAAGTAGTGTTGGCTGCTAGATAAATTCTGCCCCAACAGAATTTAATTCTGCTAAAATAATAGGGCATATTACTCTCAGCTTCAAGGCAAGGATATAAATCATGGAATCATATACAAATGGAACATGGAAGGATATAATCAAATTTAATTGCATGCACTCATTGGGGTTTGTACCTAAATTAAGTACTGAATCTATAAGAAACAAGAACGAGAGCTTAATGTGAGCAAGCCAACAAGGCTAGGAAATCTGTATCTTTTGTCCTTTCCTTTTGGTTTTCAGGTACTTTTCTTGCAAGTGTATAGACAGGAGAAAATGACCAGGATAGGGCAGATAGCTCTCACTAATACAGAACAGATGATGGATGTTTTCTCCAATTCTGATTTGAAGGCACAGAAAGTTTCACAAGAAAAAAAACAGTTGGAAATAACCTTTGTATTCTGCAGATAATATTCCACACCGATATATCTTGTATTTCATACAAATCAAAGGATATTTAGGAAATTGAGTGTCCTTTACACAGTTTGAAGAACCTAAGTAAAACAAATAGATTTACACCAATACTAAAAAGATTCACATTATTTCCCAGAGAAGCATGGTAATAATCTAGGTTATGTTTTCACTGTCTTTCTAATGCAAATATGAACACTTACCCTACAATGTAATTATCTTTCCCAACTCCTACTTCACAGACATCGCACCACTCCAACTTYTTTCCTCTTTTACTTTGGAATTTAGCATTGCTCAGAGTTTTCTTTCAATTATTCTGCATTTGTTGATTATTTTAATACACTGAAGTTCTGCACAAAGAGGAGTTTCTACTCTATCTCCAGCCAYAAAAAATGACATTCCACTAGTGTCTGGCAACTTAATTACTACATGTTTTGGGTTAAGACACAGACTTACAGACAGTAGGTGAAAGAAGGTGTCTGTGTGCTTACACATGAACACACTCCTAATTCGTAAACAAGGAGTCACCCAGCCCACAACAAAAACTTCCCAGATTCTTCCAGCTTCTGACAGGAATTATTTAAAACTTAAATTCTTTGACTTAATCCATGATTCTGAAGACTGCTGGCTTGGTCTTGCTGCTCACATCCAAAATGTCTACAGTAAGGTAGTGYGAAAGTGAGAGGCCACCAGAGGCAGTCCCTACAAGGGAGGGAGCAAGCCTGTGATGATCAAATGCTGTGTACACCATGCATCYATAAAACCACATGCAACTCCTGACAAGACAACCTCACAGCACAAAACAGCTCAGTAACAGAGTTGAACTGAGGTCAAGCCTAGAATATTAGTTTTAATTGTCTTGTTCTAGTTTTTTTTATCCTCCTAACTTTTTTGTATTGTGAGATCACAAATAACTTGTGTACATATTGGTTCTGAATAGAACACTGAAACATGAGTTTATTGTTYCTCTTTGTCGGAATTTCCTAGAGGAAAAATATTGCCAAAACAATTTAATAGTGTATTCAAAATTAAGAGTGCATTTTGACCCAAGTGACTATAAATTAACCTAAAAAAAAGGAAAGACAATAATTTCTTCATTTTCCACACAAATCAGGAAAATAATTGCAACAAAAGAACATTTCAAAGAGTCATTGAACAATACTGAGAAAGCATGTTTGCTGTCAAGGTAAGGACAGTTCCTTWGGAGCTTCCACGGCTTGAGGCTGAAAATTTTGTGTTTGGAGAAATATGCTGTAAAAAATTAAAACATTTGAGCTTTATTAATTTTTGATGTACCTTCAACAAAACTAGAAGAATAGGATCCCTCAYATCTGAAGCATTTCACTTCTCATAAAATAGCATTTTCAGAGGAGCAAGACACGTTTCCTGTCAAGCAACTGAATGATGTACTCTGAATTTGTTTCAAAGGTGCAGCTTTYCCCAAGATCATCACATTGAGGACTGTTCTCATGCCGGACAGTGTTGCTCAAGGCTGTTGCCAAATATCGCAGCACCACTTGTGACAGCCACGGGAGAAGGGGCAGTTTTCACAATAGGAATTGTGCAATCAGATTAGCCAGTCCAAGGAGAATTATAAAGATGTGAATGATCAATGCTGGCCACGTCAGCTGCCCAGCACGGTGCAGGGAGATCATGTAGATGAGTGATGGATACACGAATACAAAGGCCAGACCACATGTTGCTCCGGAGTATCTGAGGAAAGGGAGGGAAGAGGGTAGTAAGAAAAGGAAAAAAAAAAGAAAGAATGTTTTGCATTTATTCTTATTTCTGGTTGTCATTTCCCGTCACCAAACCAATGAAACTGTGTGGATGAACACTGTCTGCAACTGCTAATATCAACTTCTAATCCTTGCTGACCTCCACCACCTTCACAAGTATTAAATTGTCACCCTCTGTGTTGCCCAGCCTCCTACTCGCCTGCACACTCTGACACGCCTCTGTCCTTTCAGTCACCCCGTGATGCTGCTGGGGATTGAATCCCTTATTTTGACCTGATGCTTCTACTTTCTTTGGGGAAGTCTGTCAACATGCAACAGAAAGAGACTGGACAGTGCATTATTTTTTACACATCCTTTACTGTCAGAACTACAAATCTCATTGAACCCCAGCCATCTGAGGACACATACTAAAGCATTTAAATATAGAAATGTTCCTGAATCTACAATTCTTATTTTAGTTTATTTAATGAGCTTCTAGCAAATCATTCTCCAGACCAAAAAGGAACAACATGCCCTTCTGGTAACATGATCAACCACAGCAAGGGAAACATTTAACTGTTTTTTTCCTAACCTCTCCCTTGCTTGCAAAAAATGTTCTCATTATTTTCACCTACTAAGCAGCCAAATACTATTAAGTAACAATATATTTTGTTCATATATTTCAACATTCCTTTCAGAGGAAAGATCATAATACAGAGAAATCATCTGCAACACGAAACCAGAAAACATGCAAGTTAGACTGTATAAAGACAATTTATCTGCCAGAAATCCATGTTTCAACACATTTGATTGCTATGCACAATTCAGACACATTGAAGAGATGAGTATCAGTTTGCAGAGACATGTATTGCACAATGCTTAGCCAAATTAGACATTAGGAAGAAATTCTTTCCTGTCAGGCTGCTAAGACACTGGAACAGGATGCCAGGGAAGCTGTGGATATTCTGATTCTGGAAATGCCCKGTCTCAAGGCCAGGTAGGATGGGTCTCTAAACAACCTGGTCTAGTGAAAGGTGTTTCTTGTCCATGGSAGAGGGGCTGGAATTAGATGAYCTTTAAGATCCCTTCCAACCTTAAGGTCCGTTCTATCATGCTAAGAGTCTATGATGATGATGAACTAGACCATCTCTATTACTATCATACAAAAAAAATGTACTACAAGGAGAGCTAGAAGAAAAAGAGGAAATGGGAAAAACCTTAAGACATCAGCCACTGAGCAAAAGAGTTATTTTGCTGCTTTGGTCAGACCCAAGCCTGTCATTCTGGTTTTATAATTGCAGATTTCTGTATTTTTAAACACCTCCCTCTCCTGGTTGCTTTAGGAAAGATATGATCCAAGAATAAATGACGGTGCGATAAATATGTTTATGTGAAATGCAGTAAATAAGACTCCTTATTATTTTCTCTAATATTTTCCAATCATAGAAATCCCAGCTAATCATCAACATAGTAAATTTAAGGTATCATTTAGAGGCACAACTTTGATCCACTTTTTCCTTAAAAGTTACTTACTTTYGTAGATTTTTATTATAGACCTTCAAACCAGGTCCAAGTGGTCTTAACACAAAACAGAAACTTGAAAGAAAGCACACAATAACCAAGCAACTTTTCTTCTGGCACCGTATTATTTTATGAGTACAGTTACAAAGTCCTCAGACACAGCTCCAGCAAAACTCAGCCACCACAGACACAGAGGCAGGGTAACAGATAGCTGCTTGTCAGAACTTTGCAAGCTGATTGTTTTTACATCTAAACCATTATTTACAGCTTAAGAAGGCATACRCTTCACAAAATATAAAGGTACAATTGTTGCTGCTCCTTTTCAACATCAAGACAAAAACRTGTAGTAGCACCACAGGAAAGCTCATGGGAAGCAACACTCACCTTATGATACCACCGATATTTGGATAAAATCTTGCCATTGCTACTCCAGCTCCTACAATAGCTATGTTCAGGACAAGCACATGGACAAGGCTATAGGAAAGTGAGAAAAGACTGTTTAAATCTATTACATTTATTACAAAATACCACCACTATCCTTCATTTACACTAACATTTAACTTGTGCATGGACGGTGCTTTCATTTGCATAACTCACTCTATCAAAGTCAATTAATTTCACAGCCAAAGTGTCATCTACTGAATATTCAGAGTGCCAATTTCCAAGTATCTAGTATTTTGACTCAAAATATTCTTAAGGAATAAGGATGTGTAATTTGGCAATTCTTCTGAAAAACATCATACATGGTACTCAGCACTCAAGTATTTCAGATGGATATTCAAATACCAAAGAAACAATAGTGTATAACTTAATTCCCACAAGAAAGAGCTAGCTTGTTCACAGAATGATCTAAATTGCTCAAAGTGAACTAATGGAAACCAGAAAAAAGGAAAAGATGCATCAACTAGAAAACATTACAAAGACTACTAGGTGGGAAATAAGACCTTAAATTTTGGACTCTACTGCACTTTGAGAGAGGACAAACATTTAGAATGGATGGTTGGATGTCCTACAGTACAAGAACTGTGCCTTATTTATGCTGATTTTTTTGCTGAATTTGTTTTTACAATAATTTCCTGTTGCTTTCCTTTTGCATTAAGGATGAAAAAAACAGATTTTCTGTTCTGCAAATACAGCTTTTACTGCATKAGACAAATTCAGTGCAGCTATGTAGACTCAGGAAAGTATCACTTTTCTTTAGAGAATATGAAATGTTGGCATATTTTAGCGTAAGGTAAAGTCAGGAAATATAATAAAAACCTGTGATATTTTGGTCACAGCTGTTTCTATGAAGGGAAAAAAAGATTTCACACAGAGGAAACATACATGCACTCACAGGTTTTGTTTATTCTTGTGGAGGATATGATTTCCTAAAATACACAAAAGCTGTAAGCCAAGGCTAACTTTTTCTTCACTGCAGAAAGTATGTGTATTATGGAGGATGTAACTAACTAACAAACTTTAAAAGCAACAGCTTCCACGGCTAAGGCTGAAAGGCTGCCTGCCAGTTTCCAAGTTAGGAAGAAAGATTAGAGACATAGAATAGTCTCATTAAAGTTCAGGGAAATGAAGGCAATTAAAACACAAAGGTATCATTTAAGCTATGGACTCTTTTTAACCTTCACTCTTTAGAACTGTTTTCAAAAAAGACTGTAAATAGAATCTTTAATTTTATACATGRCATTTTAACAGTGGTACAAGAGGGGTACTTAGAGATTGACGACTGCAGTGGGACTGCAGCAGCTGTTTAGAAAAAACTTAATCGGATACAAACCTGGTAAAACACCATGAATTAAAAAAAAATCCCAAGAATCAGACTTACTAGGGAGAGAAGAACCAAATGCATACAGCTTCTCCAATATTGATAAGGAAAGTCAGTTCCTTAAATTGTTCACAAAGAAGTGCCTGCCATTAAAAAGGTCTACTTTAATCTCTCTTCATACATGTGGCAGATCGCAAATCTTGCCATCAAATAGCACAGTTGAACCAGAAAGTTTATGAACACAGAAAATGACAGCACTTCTTCCATTCTTTTTTTTTTTTTCTGAGATTATGTTTTTAGCAAGAGGGACTAAAAACAGTGCAGGCTTACTAATTAAAAAATGTTTTGCAAGCAWGTGTCAGTTCAGAGTATTTTAGCAGAAAATGTGAAAAAGCTGAAGTATTTTATGCTGGCATGACAAGACGTAATTTTGTAGTTCCAAGTTGTTGTTTGAATTCTAGATTCTTTTAATTTCAAAAGCAAGTGGGTGTGTGTGTATGTTTGGTGTAAAATGAAACAGTTTTCAATTTCTTGATCTGGGAAAAGATTATTGGGTTGAGCGGGTGATGATGTGCTTGGGCTCAGTTGAAAACAACARTCCCCAAATGCTGAAGCCTCCAAAGCAATTCAGTACTTGTGGAGTAGTGTTTTGCAGTCTTAATTGTTAAAATTAAGCAGAATCCTGAAAAACAATACCAAAATCAGAAGGTCTGAATAGGCTTTGCATCCATCTGTTTCAATGTGAAAGATTACACATTATTTCTTCCCTTGCTCCTTTTTCTACYTTGCATTGTAACCATGTTGTTGGATGGCAGGTGTTTAACCTAGGCAGCTATTCACAGCTCAGCTCCTCTCCAGGATGGGGAAAAAGCCTCAATCTTAAGTGAGAGAAAGGCATTACCATTTAGGAAAAAAAAACCCTATCCTTCCGAATAAAGTGAAATCTGATACCTAGGGMTACTAGTGGCTATACAATTTGAGACAATAATTTTCCTAAGACTGCTGAGTTTCGGGTAGGTGTGCTCCAGACAGCACAAGCATTTCTCGTAGCCTGTGACATTTTAACAAGTTCTAAATTGCTCRCCTTTAGCCTGACACTGGGTTACAGTACAATTAATGGTCCCCACACATTGCAAAAGGACAGTTTGAAAAACAGCATTTGGAGGCAGGGGACAGAACCATGCCACCCTGCTTATCACTACCATACCAAGGAAAGTATTTAGAGGATATTAGAAATCAGAAAAGATTTAGCTGTTTTTGCTTGATCACCCTGGTAACATAGAGTTGTTTTCATAACTCTCTTCCTCGTGGCCAGTGGCAGCAGAGTCGGGTGGCCAATGCTAGTGCTGGACTGTCTGCCTGGGCAGCCTGGTTAAGGCTGCTGCTCTAAGGCACAGGTTGGGTTGCCTGAAGGAGGCTGTAATTCACAAAGGAGGCACACCTATGACAAGTCTTTTATATTCTGTCCTCGACTCCATACCCTCATCTGGGCAGATGYAGATCCTAGTTCTCGTCTATAAAGGGAATCGCTGCTCACCTGCAAAAACCTTGCAATAACCACAAAATGATAGCAGAGAGGAGGAAAAAAAGACTGAAAGAATATGTAAGCTTTCCCCTAAGTCTGGCCTTTTCCTCTCATGGCAAGGTTAACATTTCAGATTGACAGAGTGGAGAAACAACCTTGTATGCCAGAAGATCATTAAAGGGCTTGCTCCATCAAGTCCTCTCCTGTGGAAATGGTAGTTACACTTAAGTCACTGAACAGCAGTGACCATAAATATCTAACTAACTTTTGCATCCTCAAAATAAGAATCACATCAAAAACAGTGAAACCAAACCCTAGTGCAGGGAAAAAATTAAAGACAGAAACTGATTTTAAATCCCCTCAGGTTTTAAGTCTCCTCAGAAGTTCTGGACTCAGCATGAAGTCACAGGATAAACACGYACAATCAGGGAAATGGGAAAGCAAGGAAAGAAAGCAATCACAATCATTCAAGTCAGAATTTTTGAGAGGTTACTATATATGAAAATGCATTATAAAAATGCATTTTCTTCCTGAAAATCATACTCAAGTGACATTTGTCAAACAACTATGAATCACAACCTTTAAGAAGCTAGACAGAAGATAGGTGAAGAGCAGACAAGCAAACATGCAYGCAAACAGAAGAAATGTATTTCATTAGATCAGAAGACATCTGTGGCAGAACTGGCAGGTCTGCTAGGCTACCATGGAGTAAAGGGAGGACAATCATTACAGAAAACTAAATGATTGTTGTCCATTAGCTTATTTAACCTCTCTCAAGATTAAAAGTTATAAAACATTAGAAAGTTCTACAAAAACCCATCAGGTGACTGTATAAAGCACTTTATGCACACCATATAATTAATCCAGACAATTTCTGACACAAACATCACCGTAGCCAAGAACCAGTAACAATAATAAAAAATTGGCTTTCTCTGCATATGAGAAGATCCTGGGCCACGTAAGAAACAGCAGATAAAGCACATGCCTCTGGCTCTGATTCAGTGTTAAATGACACCATTACAAACATATCTCATCTTAGCAGAGAACCAATTACCCAATACACAACATTTTGGCCTTTCTTAACAACCAGGGAGAGCAGACAGAATGAACAGTTCCTTGGGTTTTGTCCCAGTACATCAYTTTCTCTGTTGTAATCTGTATACTAGCATACATTTGGTAAAATATAAGAAGGAATTAGAATGTCTTCTGTTGTTTCTAAACCTTCCGTAGCAAGTAGAAAAAGGCTGAAGGATTTATGCATCAAGTGCACCCTCAGCACCAAGCTGTGTAGGATGCAGTGGACACATGCTGGAGGAAAGGGACACATCCAGAGGGATCTTGAAAGGCTTGAGAAGTGGGACCATGCAACCTCATGGAGTTCAACAAAGCCAAGTGCAAGGTCCTACACTTGGGTCATTGCAATCCCAAACACACCTCATGTCTCTGGGCAGAGATGTGATTAAAAGCAGCCCTGAGGGGAAGGGCTTGGGGGGGATGGCTGATGAAAACTCACCATGAGCTGGCAGTGAGTGCTCACAGCCCAAAAAAACAAGGGAATCCTGGGCTGCATCAAAAGGAGCGTGGCCAGCAGGGTGAGGGAGGGGTTCTACCCCTCTGCTCTGCCCTGCTCTGCTGAGACCCCACCTGCAGTGCTGCATCCAGCTCTGGKGCCCCCA